TATGTTACAAGAACAAAATGTGTTTATTTAATTTTCTTTTTAAAGTAGCCTTCTTGTATTTCATCTTCAGTTTAGCAATTGCATGAGAGCTTACATTTGAAATAAAATATAGCAGTTCTTACAAAGATTAGAGGCTCATGGCGATAAATTAATTGAACATAGAAGAAGTGAGTTGTGTTTTAAATAGAGCTGGAAGCTCTGGTATTACTTCTTTTTAACTTCAGATTATTTAACTTCTTTTGACAATTAAGCTTCTTTTGGGACTTGCAGTTAATTTGCAATAGTTAACCATGCAACAGGCATCATACTTTGGTAGTCAAAAATCCACTGCTGGGAACAGACTATGTTAGTACTGCAGATTAGGAATGAAACTACACTAGGTTTAATTAGACCACTGATTTACGTGGCCTAGACACCCAGGTTGAAAGAGATGTAGTGATAAAATATGACAGAGTACAATCAACTGAAGTTACCTAAAGATTAAGCCATTCAGCATGATCTGAGAAGCCTGTCAAGCGGGAGGAGAAAGAATAAGAAAGGGAACTGTAGAAGTCAGGTCAGTTACTTCAGTATTTCATTTTGCACCTTCTCCTGCTGGTTGCTTGATCTGTGATGATTTTGTGATGATATTGTGCCATAAAGTCTGAAGTTAAAATCTGTCATAGCTTAGCACAGGATTGGCAATTAAACTGGGACAAAATCCTAACTTTTGTATTAATAGTTCAACACACTGGAGAACTAGATTGCTGTTATTTTTTTCTGTGTGGTGTGTTCAGCATCAGGAGGACAAGGACTGTGTGGGAAGTGATCTCTGCCACGTAAAGTCTTGCAGAGACCCTCAAAATCTGCAGCATAGATGTGCCTTCCAGCCTGTTGGGCATTGGTGGTCAAGGGGCCTTGAGCTTTCTAGCCCCTCCCCATAATCCCTACAAGGAGGCAAGGTAATGGCAATGCTTACTTTGGCTGAGGGGCAGATGTTGGCTACATCAAGGAAACGAGTACCCCATTGGAAGGTGCGACCATGTTAAGGGTATGCCTGTACTGCAGACTGAAGTAGAGCTATCTAAATTAAATGCAAATAAATATATTTAGGTAACAGACACCATCACGCCATGAAGCTCTGAGCTAAGTTGTGTCAAGAGACAAAATAGACAACTACTCAGAAACTGGAAAATCCAGGCATTTGCTCAGATCTGTTTGTCGAAGTCTTTAACCACCTTTCTTTCTGAAAGTTGTCCAACACTCTCAGATCTTCCTACTTCTGTGGTACAATTTTGGTTATGAATAGTTTGCAGTATCAATGTCCTTTAGCAGCTGGATGGCTGCCTTTCCCCCAGGCATAAGTAACCTGATACTACCTAGTGGTTTTGGCCAAATAGTTTAAATAGAAAAATGATGATACAACAAAGAGAACCCAAACCCTACTTTCATTGTAGTGAGTCACAAGAGGCTGATCACAGTGAGATGGTTTATATCCATTATAACAATGTTGTTTTCCAGTTTATCATACTGAAATGATTAACCATTTTGCTACTGAACACTTGCAAAGCCAACAAAACGTGAAGAGGCATGTGGATGAAAAAAAAAAGCTTACAGTGCAAGTTGGCATTTTATTTTCACTGGGGACTTAAGTTTCCAAATTATTTAATGACTCGGCAATAATGTTCAGGCATGTATGTAGCAAGATACAGCCATTGCTGGTTGCTGACACATTTATGTTGGGGAACGAATACAGAGATACGTAGTTGTGTGGGCAACCTGAGACTGTTTTTCCCAGAACTCACATGTTGATGGTGTCAGTTGGAAAGGAGAGAGAGCTACTGTCCCCCTTACCTCTGTGGTGAAACTGCTTCTGCGTTTTGGCCGGCTGGAGCAACCTGTCAGGTTGGAATTTGGCAAGGTCAAGCAATTAAAAGTTATTTTAATTTTGCAAAGTAAACACCTATCAAAGTAATTTGCTTAGGCAAGCAAAATCTGTCAAGAAGGAAAAAACAAGTGCATTGTTTTGATCACTTCTTTTTTTTAATGCAGATCTAGTATTTCTCAGTCAGGTGTCACTCCAGGTGAAGACTACTGGCACTCCATCAGCAAGCTCTTGTCTTTATTTATTTTGTAGGAAAGAATTTTGAAAATAATAAAGCAGGAAGTAAAACAAAGAACTTAACATTCATCTAGAGAATTGATTTCTTACGCGTCCTCTCCCGGACCTACTTGGGTGCTGCCAAATTGAAGAACATTCCCATTTTAAACATTCTCACCGTGTTCAGGAACTCCTTAAAAGCCAAGAAGGGAAAAATCTTAAGTTATTGTGTGATCTATCCTTTAGCAATGTTGAGATTTTTCACCATGTGGTACTTGTGTTTGTAGCAGAGGTGCCAATATTTTTCTTGGGATATACACACTAGTTCATCTTGTTCCCAGGAACTTTCTTTGGATGCTTAGCTGTGTTAGTATATTGTTTCTTTTATCTTCCCTGCTATTAGTCATTCTCTTGCAAAGTTAAAAACCTATCTTTTCTACAACCACCTCTGTATTCTTCAAATATCTGTAAAGCCAACAATATAGTTCTTTGGTACTAGAAGAATGTACTTTTTATGTTAGTTTTGGAAAGAAATATTACATCTCTTCCAAGATTTGACAGTTCCACATACCAAATCAAATAACACTTCATTGATAAAATTACACAAATGCTTACATTTATAAAGCCATCTTCTCTTAATGTTTCTGCTTTATTTCTGAGCATGTGGATCAAATAAGCAATTTATTTCATAAAACTTGTTCAGTTTAGAAAGAAATTTTGTCAGGTGATATGTTTTTCATATGGACTCTCAAGGTGACTTTTTTATCTGGCTCTCTCAAACTTACCAGAAGTGTTAAAACTTAATTTGTGGAATCACATTTGGTTTCTGCAATTCAAAAGCTAAGATATAGGAAAGGGGAAAATTATAATTGCAGATGGGGAAGAGGTGGTCTGCTCTTAATACCTGATCTTATCAACACAGGACTTCTGGAAGTCTTAAAAAAAATTGAGAATGTTTTGCCAGAAATACCGTAAGAGCAGAGTCTCTTACCACAGCTTTCCATTGCCTTTGCTTTGCTTTAGAGAGTTATGCTCTTGTTAAGTAATGGAAATGCATGAGACAACATAGAAGGTATCGGTGTGGACCTGGGATCAGAACATCAGATTATTCTTGGTGGGTTTTTTATTATTTTCTCATTTAGGGTGTGGTCGTGGTTGATAATCAGTTGGCTTGTTGGTTTATTACCCCACAAATCCATTCAAGGTATTGTAGCAAAAATTAACCTACCTCTATACGCAGTGTTATAACCAGTAGCAGGGACTACAGAAGGGCAATGCTGACAGAGAAAGGGCAGGGTAGAGAAAAAAATCTGAGAAATTGAGATAGTTCCACATCTTTTCAAATACACTTTGAAATGCATGTATAGTCTGTACAAGCTATCTGTTCTTGTTATTGCTTTGTTATTATTGTGGCTTGAAAAACAAACTGGTATTATTCTGCTTCATATATAATTCTTAATTATAATAACCCATAGAAGTTGCATGATCTGTTTTGTCTTTAGATCAAAAGTTGGGTGAACTTCCGTACAACTGGGATGAGAAGCCCAGAAAATCAAGTTACCCAAGACATAATGAGCTACTGGCAGGACTTTGGCTAACGTGAATATTCCCTTTTTCTAAATGGTAACTGGAATCAAAATTCAAATTGTCTGTTACGGTTGAGGCAGAATGGAAATCAAGCTCATCTTTTTTGGGAACTGGTGGCAGTTTAAATGATTAATTAAATAGTTTGTTAGTGTTCACACTGTAAAATATGCTCCAGTCACGTGTACCAAAGTGCTACTTTTTACGCTCACGCGCTGAAGAATGGTGACTTGTGTAAAGCATAGGATCTGTATACCTACCTGTTAGAAGCAAAAGGCACAAATGCTAGCACTGCTGAATCATACGTTGAGCAAATCTGTGGTGCAGCCACAGAGTGTGATTTCATGCTGGCTCCTCATTTTGAGGAGCACTCTTTTTCATTAGCCCAGTGGGAAGAAAATTGGAAGAAAGCCCTTTAATTTCTGAACTCTGAGAATTTATGCTCATTTTGAAAACAGCTTATTACCTCTGCAGCTATCTCCTCCATAAAGAGCTGGGATTGAAATAGCACAGTATGATGCAAGCTTGTGGGAAGTGTCTTGGCAGAGCCTAAGACTGGGACAGTAGCGATCAAAAGTGCCACGTCCTGACAGGAAAAGGACACCTTCCACAGTACAAGTCAAAACTACGTTTTTCCTTATCCTAATGTACATGACTAGATCACAGC